CGAAACTTAGCACAACTTCACCTCTTCCGGCTGTTTCCAGACAATCCTCGGCACCCTCACGAAGCTTACCCCCCCTGGCGGCTGGCCAATCAAGAAAGCCATCGTCTTTGGCACCGGATCTCTCACAAAAGGCAGACCAGCGGCCCTCAGAACCGCGGCCCTTCAAATCCATACCTTTATCTATCTGATCAACACCGTCACGGCAAGACTTTCTGAACGCCCGCCTCCCCGTCAATCCCATGCGCATCATCTCATCCCGGCCTTTGCTCAAGACCCTATGTATACCGAAACAGACATGGAGATACTCAACCAACTCGGCATCGAGGTACTCGAGGACCCAGACGGACAAGACGGCATCGACTATCACACTCTGGCTTATTCAGCATGGACTCCCGTGACAGTAATGGTTGATATGCTTACCCCAGTCGATTCCCCGGCTCCGTGTTTTTACTACGGCATTCCGGTTGATAACTTGATCGACTTTTGGATTTCGGACCCATTGTGCAAAGAAGCGCTGGATGAATTTGAAGACGAGACAAGGTTCAAATTCATCAAGGTTATGAGGAGTCATACGCTGCACAACCTGCCACAGGAGTGCGAGGGTTTGGACAAAGACAAGAAATGTCACCTTTGTCAGCCATGTGATATTTGTATGCGGTTTCATATTGACAAGAAATTGTTGACTTTGGAGCAGAGGGACATGTTTGAGTAGTAGGGATAATCGAACAGGATTATGATGTATTGTTTTTTTTAAGATCAGCGTTCTGAATAAATCAATTATGGTATATTATCTTTTGTGATTCTTTTTATTATTATTATTATTATTACTGATCTTACGCCGCTGGAGGCGTTGCCTCCATCCCTATGGGATATGCGGTCCCTCTACAATTATTTACACGCGTGAGTGAACTCAAGTGCAGACTGTGTACCAAATTGATCCAGCAGCCAACTCTGCCTTTCTCCAACAATCCACTTGTCCGAGTCTCTGCTACCCGGCTTGGTGACATAATAAGAGCTTGTGCTCTTCCCAGAGCGATGCCACTTTAGAAAGTTTGTATCAATGATCACTGAACCCACCCCCTTTCCTCTCAAGGTGTGTCCACCTCCCAGATCTTAGAACCCTGGTATCCTCATTCCACGGCGCTGTCTGCGTTGAGCGTCCACTTCCGGCGCAGTTTGTCCCTGTCCCCGCTCTGATAAAAGATTCCAGTTTTCTTCCTCTAATTCTTTTGCAAGCCTATATTCATCCAGTCTTCCCGTTGCAAAAAGCCAGTTGATGATTATTGTTGCCTCCTTCTTTTGGCCTAAAGCCACCCTAAAGGTAGGGCCATCCCTTATCCTCTGCAGTCTCAGCCTCTCTCTTTCTCCATCGTACTCGTTGCACCGAAGTACCATGTGTGCTACTGTCTCGGGTCCGCATCCTCGTGCACAGAGGGCTGAGATAACTTCCGGGACCTTTCTTCTGTGCAGGAACGCGTTCAGGCCAATTGCCCCTGTCCTTGCCTGTGTGAGTAGGGAACTCTTCGCTTTGGTGAGATCTTGGTGCAGTTTAAGAGGAAACCCACGTTTGGGGTCCAGGTCAAACAAATCCGCTGGCTCTACGCTGTGTGGCCTCATCAACAGCGCTTGATGGCGTAGGCGGCGTCTCCTCCTTTTCCATTCGCTTAGCGTAGAATCATCTGGGTCCATTTCTTCCCAGTCCGAGTTAGGTGTCCCCTCTGCTCACACCTTCAACCATCTCTCTGCCCATTGAGCCTTGCGGAGGCCACTAATAACAGGAAATAAAAATGTCGGATAAGCTAAAAACGGTACCTGGGTTTTGGTTGGTTGTCAAATCACCTCACCTACCCAAACCCAGGTTTGGAGGCTCAGGTTATCAGCACACCGACAAATAATAACTTCAACAGAAAACGTGAATATGTACTAAATTATGTCTATAGACGATACCGAGCCATAAACATATACAAAAGAGTTGACTCGGCATCTTGGGTATCATTAAATAAGTAAAACAAGTTCATAGATCATTTAGATCAAATCCCATAAAAGAATCACCCGGTCCAGTACCAGTATATCCCTTCATTGACTGGCAGTCGAGGTAATTATTCTCGATAAATGGCGTGGCAATTTGAATTCCATGCACCCCGGTCCACTCCTGTTGTCCCTCGAACGGCAGGGCGTTGGCCTTTACTCTCCCCCTAACCATTCTAGGAGCAAACTCATCAACCGACATTGAAGTGTTGAAAAGCCTAATCATGTTGTCGCAGGTTGTGCCATTGGCAAATGTTGGCTGGTTCGTAATGTTCTTGAACAGGTCGATAGAAAAGGTCGGTTGTGTGCATGAGGCAAGTTGCTTCATCTCCACCTCAACAAACTCCTGAGACGAAACGGCCGAACCTTTAAAGTATGTCGCACCGTTGGGCAAAGCGGAATAGGCGTTGCATGTGGGTTCGTACTCGGCAGATGTGACGATGGTGCCGTATGCCCGAGATCCCTCAAGAGCAATATCATTCGTCGCAGTGATAAGCTGTGATGGTGCCCATCGAAATGATGAATAGCCATCACCCAAGAGATCCAGGAAAGGAAACTCGAAACCAACTCTCTAAAAATGGTATTAATACTTCTCCCCCTGAAGCTTATGGAAACAACCAACATACCGAAAAGTCATCAATGGTGATGCCATAAGCCCGAAATTGGACATCATGGTCATGTGCAGCCTGAATCAAAACTGGATACATTCCCTCGGGAAAATTTGGAAGCAGAGATCGGTATGCGTTCTCGAGGATACCATATTGTGGTGGCACCAAACGGCGAGCAAGATCGAGTGGGATGGGGATGATGGCGAGAGTTGCGTTTAGTACGCCGGTTGCACTATTGGGAAAGGACTCGGCCAGTGGGTTTGGTTGGGTCTGGGAGACACAGGTGCTTGTTGTTGTTGTTGTTGTTGTTTCTGTCGGTGCCGAGCTGATGGGGCTGAGGAAAAGTGATGATAATAAGACAACAAAAATTGCCGATATGGAGACGACAGAGTGTTGCAAAGACATTTTTGATCGATGTTTCTGGTTCGAAGAAGTCCAACGCTCTGCCACTTTTCGAGAATATGATGCTGCCTCTGAAGGGAAGCGAGGCATGCTGAGAGGCATAGTTATCTGTCGGTTGACCGAGGAGATTTTATAATAAGAGGGGATGAGTAAATGCAGACTCGAGGAGCCGCTAACCAACACACCAGATCAAACCAGTGTTAGCGAATAAACAAAATAGGTAAAGATCAATATAAGAAATACCAAGAGAAACAGAACAAGACAAGAAAAGACAAAAAGAGCTGGTGAAATGAGGTCAACGAAGCTTTATTGACTTCTCCCCCACGACCCGATTACCACTTTAGAATGATAAAGCGGGCGGATGGACGGCAGGCCCGGGGCCAGGGCAGAGATCCGTGATTCTGTTACATGGTTCATCTTGACGACTTTCGGGAGAGGTTGTGGTGATTCCTCCGCCCCCGGAAGGTTTTCCCTTTTGTTTCGGAATGGATTTTGATGCGAGACCAGAATGGCCCAAGCTTCTCCCGGGGCCACGAGGATCCAAGGAACCGGCAGTAGTTGAACAATATTGAATTGGGCGACAAATCCCTGCCTTACAGCCGTATAGAGGCGCGGAAACATCAACATCCGAGCTGCCATACATCAATAAACCAACAACCCAAAAGGCAAGCCGCACGCCATCCAAAATGGTCGTAAAAGAAACGGCGTCAAGGGCGTCGCGCGCGTGTTCTCTTGTGCAACGGAAATAAGATCAAGAGAAAAAGTAAGAGCCAAACAGGGGGTGGTCTCGGTTGTAGGTCGTGTTTCGTCCCGGATGTTGATCGTTCCGGCGCACGAGTCAACTTGTCGAGACATGATCCTGCCAATCACCAATCGGAACCAAGAAAAAGAATGATCCTGCTGATACGAGATGCAATATTCCGCCAAGTGCCCTTCGGAAGTTCGGCGATACCCGAGTTTTTTTCTGTAATTTTTATTTGTCCAAAATGAAAAAGAAAAGCTTTTGGAAGGTTTGGAAGCAATTGAGTTTGCTTCACAGCAACCTGCTGGATACCCCTGGCTGGAACTCCGGATGGGGACTCTTGGGACGAACCCCTGGTGCTCCGCCCCCTCAAAATCTTAAACCCGGAGTGGCCCAGCAAACTGTTTGTCAGTCATTCACTGGCGGTCCGGTGACGGACTTTGTCCACCACAACGCAGATCAATCCCATCTTTCATTTCATTTGGATTTTCCAATATTTTATTCAATACATGAAGCAAATAGCAATTCCTCAATTTCGCTCAATGCACCTTCATATTGTCGATCTGTTCCAGGAGTTGTGTGGGGATTGTTTTAAAAGTCAAGCCCTTGTTCAAAAACCCCCAAAGCCGTCAGCAGCTGTTATCGGCTTGGAGGTATCAAGACTCAAGAGATCGCCAAGCATCATCGTCATCGTCGGATCTTCAACCAGGATCAAGCACTCGGGGAAGAGACATTAGACAAGTTCAAAACGAACCCCAACTTTATTTGTATTAGAGCCTGAAATACTTTTAGATCTGCAAGCCATCATGTTTGACCTCTGTCTCCAATGCCGCTGGCGGCCGCTTACGTACTTTTCTGTCAAACCCTAACCCCGAGATCAAATTGACGATATCCATTATCCAGATATTGGAATAATTGTGCCTAAGAGTAAAAGGATTTGTTTCTGGATTATAGTTTTGAACTATACAGAGTATGTAATCTTCATGGACGTTTGTTGGTTCTATGCCTAACGACAACTTGAACCTCGGAGACGACCCGTAATCCATATAGCCACGCAATATACGACGCACGATTTAATGAAAAGTTGACGCTGAATCTCTGATGACACAAATGAGCTAAATAGTGCTGTTAGTGATGAAATAAACCATGATTCAGTGTCTTGTTACTAGGTATTTTGTAAAGAAAAAAACAAGAAAAAAGAAGAAAAAAACAAAAGATATTGCCCCCGACCGGATTCGAACCGGCATCTTTCGCTGCCTCGCAACTTCACGGCCGGAAATCCTTAAGACAACAAACGCCAACCATTCGGCTACGGAGACTGTGTTTTGGTATATCCAGGTTTGGTTGAAAGGAAGAGTCGGAATGTTAAATAAATATCTAGACCTGGGTGGCGGTGGAAGAGGGGTTGTTGTGGAGTTTGTGGCGTTTATGGATGATAAGGTACGGAGTATCACGGAGGTTGGTGAATAGGGAATGGCTGCTGGTGTGTGTTTTCGAGGATAATGTAAAGTATCAGATGTCTGAGAATGGTACAACAGAATTCTCGAGGTTAAATTACTTTATAATACGGGAAACTCCCACTGGGCTGGATATCCTGGATGGCTTTTTGTCTTGTCTCTGGCTCACTGGCTGAACTTATGAAGAATACGATCTTCAAAGCAGTCCCTGGTTGCTCAGATCAAACACGAAAAAGCAATAAGATCGTATTCAGTGTGTCTTCAAGTGAGCTAGCCCATCATTATATGCCTCCAGTCTAAAGAAGTGGAAGAATATACAGACCTGCTTTGATGATAAAGCCAAGAGGTGAGTATCTCATCTTTCAGCTCAGTTCTTCCAGGTGTTCTGTGTTCACTTCTATTTAGATGGCAACTGAGACGCAGGTCCCTGCCGGATATGTGACTGTCAAGGCATCAAACGGCTGATTAAGTTCATAAGTTCTGTCCAAATTCTGACATCAGGCAGCGTCTCTGGGAGGTAATTTCAGAGCAATCTTCTAGATATTTACTTTACAACTCGACTAAATATGCTTTCTTGCGTTGCCATCTTTTGCCACCACTGGTCTAGTTACCCTCAGCTCTGCTCTGCTGGTCAAGTGCGTGTTGTACGTTATCATTTTATGCCAACTTATGCATTGTATAAAAAAGTAATTTGGCAGCTGTTAGTGCACCCCAAAAATTTAATATGGAAAAATCATCCTCTCTACTCCCCTTTTAACAGATAAAAATTTATGCGTCTAGTCAACTTGGAGTACCATCTGAACCGTCGTGTTTGTCAACTCGGGCAGCTGGTAACAACACATGAAAAGTGAAAATAGCTTCATTCTGCCAAGCTCCAAATTCTCAAATGCGGCGTTAATATTCTTATTGGCAACCTGGAAGGGACGACTATTTTGTCGGCGGCCATTCAACAACCATCTCAGTCAGGCGGAAACGGAGAGAAATGTTGATGACATTCGATCCAGAGAATGAACCCTCAAGTTCCTCTCTGCGAAATTGGGACGCCAAGCAGATGTGGATGACTGAAATAAATGCTGGGCTCTCCGCAATTGACAGCTGAGTGGAGAAGAGCTCCGTCTCCACAGGTGGATTATTCTCCACCCCCGCAGTTTCCCGCTGGAGATATCGGCTTGGCGGCATCTTTTTCTCGAAATCTGCTGGAAGCAACCTCCAAGAAAACCTGGAAGGGTGAAATGGAGGAAAAAAAGGAGTTAAACCCCACGCGACCTCGTCTTCCGTCGGTCCACGTTTTCCATCCGAATGCTTCCTTCCAATTCATATGGCTTGGATATCCGGGTATTTTGGACGGCGAGACGGGCAAGTTGGGCTTGGAAGTTGGAAATGGGATATGGATCGTGCCATTTACCCCTCATTGGGAAAAAGGCGGGGTAACACAGAGGGGAATGTGTTCATTCACCCACCACACCCTTCCTTCCATATCAACGAGGGAATTCTGTTCAACTTTTGATTGCTTTTTTTTCTGTTGCCGTTCCGAGCCGCTCATGTAGTGCAGATGGGAGCACGAGACGGAGGACTGCCTGACTGAGACACATACACACACACACACACTCGTCTCACCTGTATACAATCCCTTTGTTGTCATTTTTTTTCCTTTTGCAAATTCCGCCCACCTCGCTACCTTTCCTCTTCTTAACTCTTCGTGCAAGTGTCATATTTGGGATTTTCGGTGATCAAATGAACCAATCTCTTCTTGCTTGCGTCAACAACGCAAGCTCTCGTCAACAGCCATAATGTCGAGATCTTTGCTGCAGCCAGCTTTGGCTTACAATGCATCATGCGTCCCTCGGCCCGTTGAACGCGTTTTCCGGCCGGCCGTTGTGGCTCTGGGGCCTGTTCATGGTGAGAACCCCGCAAAACGTCAGCGATTAAAACCTGGAATAAGAACCTAATTTGAACCATCCGTGGATAGATTTTGCAAAGGCTAGGGCCAGAATTGCAGCCATCTCCCAGCGCGCGTGGCACAACACCACTCTTATCCGCGGTGAACGCCAAAGCCACCCACCAATCCTGAGTCTCGTTCCTGCAAAGACTCAGGCTCTCAAATTAGTCCGTCATGCCTCGGTCCTATCGCCAATTTCCTCTAGAATCCTACCCGGCTCATCTTACTCAACCGACTCTGCTGCTACTGCCCTCCCTCCTACAACACCCTATTCGAAGCTCACGGTGGGAGTGCCACGGGAGACGTACCCGAACGAACGGCGCGTGGCTTTGACTCCGCAAAACGTTGCGCTTTTGCTCAAGAAAGGTTTCGACAAGGTCCTCGTTGAGAAAGGAGCCGGTACAGAAGCCGACTTCTTGGATAGCGCTTATGCAACAGCTGGTGCCACCTTGGTTGACGATGCTTCTGCTGTCTGGAATGGCGCAGATGTCGTCCTCAAGGTGAGAGGCCCCAGCGGCGCCGAGGTCGACAAGGCGAAGGAGGGACAAACCATCATCAGCTTTTTACAGCCGGCTCAAAACAAGGATCTCGTTGAGAGGCTTGCAGCCCGAAAGGTGACAAGCTTTGCTATGGATCTTATTCCTCGCATTTCTCGCGCTCAGGTGTTTGATGCTCTAAGCTCCATGGCAAACATCGCTGGTTACAAAGCCGTTCTGGAAGCCTCCAACAACTTTGGTCGCTTCTTGACCGGACAGGTCACGGCTGCAGGCAAAATCCCTCCCTGCAAGGTTCTCGTCATTGGCGCCGGCGTGGCTGGACTGAGTGCAATTGCTACAGCGAGGAGACTCGGTGCAATTGTGCGCGGCTTTGACACCCGTCCTGCTGCTCGCGAACAGGTTCAGTCTCTAGGTGCCGAATTTATCGAGGTCGACATCCATGAAGACGGCTCAGGCGCCGGCGGCTACGCCAAAGAAATGTCCAAGGAGTTCATTGAAGCCGAAATGAAGCTTTTTACCGAACAAGCCCGCGAGGTTGACATAATTATCACCACCGCTTTGATCCCCGGAAAACCTGCGCCCAAACTCATCACCAAGGCCATGATCGAAATCATGAAACCCGGTTCTGTTGTGGTTGACCTTGCCGCTGAGGCAGGAGGAAACTGTGAAAAGACTGTTCCCGGCCAACTCATTACTTACAAAGATGTCAAGATTATTGGTTACACCGATTTCCCCTCTAGGCTTCCCACGCAATCGTCCACCCTGTACTCCAACAATATCACCAAGTTTTTGTTGTCCATGGCACCAAAGGAGAAGGAGTTCGGCATTGACCTGACCGACGAAGTGGTTCGTGGCGCCATTGTTACCAAGCAAGGAGATATTCTGCCTCCCGCTCCCAGACCGGCGCCTCCTCCTGCTCCTGCTGCCTCCCAAGCAGCCTCCAAGGAAGCAGAGGTTGTTGCTTTGACGCCGTTTCAGAAGGTCTCGCGTGAAGTTGCCTTGGTCACCGGCGGTGTGGGCTCAGCTGTGGCTCTCGGCAAATTCACGAGTCCCTTGTTCATGGGCAACGCCTTCACCTTTGCTTTGGCGTCGCTCATTGGGTATCGTGTTGTTTGGAACGTTGCACCTGCTCTCCATTCGCCCCTCATGAGTGTAACAAACGCTATCTCCGGTATGGTAGGAATTGGTGGCCTGTTTATCCTCGGTGGGGGTTATTTCCCGGAAACTATTCCTCAGTGGCTCGGTGCTGCTTCGGTTCTCCTGGCCTTTGTCAATGTTGGCGGTGGCTTCGTGATCACCAAGCGTATGCTTGACATGTTCCGACGCCCGACTGATCCTCCCGAGTATCCATGGCTTTACTCTATTCCTGGTCTGGTCTTTGGCGGTGGTTTCCTCGCTGCTGCGTCAACCGGCGCCGCTGGTCTTGTACAAGCCGGTTACCTCGTCAGCTCCGTCCTTTGCATTACCTCGATCTCTGGTCTGGCATCGCAAGCAACTGCTCGTATGGGAAATATGCTGGGTATGTTGGGCGTGGGATCCGGCGTTCTTGCTTCCCTTCTGGCAGTTGGCTTCCCTGTTGCGGTTCTCGCCCAGTTTGGTGGTCTCGCTGGCATTGGAGGGCTGTTGGGGATCTTGATTGGCAAACGCATCACGCCCACTGATCTTCCCCAGACAGTTGCTGCCCTGCACTCGGTTGTTGGCCTGGCAGCTGTCTTGACCAGTATCGGCAGTGTACTTGCATCCATCGCGCACATTTCGACGCTCCATCTTGTCACTGCCTACCTCGGTGTCCTGATTGGTGGCATTACATTCACCGGTTCCATCGTGGCCTTCTTGAAGCTCGCCGGGAAAATGTCATCCAAGCCGCTTATGTTTCGAGGACGTCACGCCATCAACAGTGGTCTTCTAGCAACCAATGTGGCAACAATGGGTGCTTTTATCACAATGGCTCCGGGCTCGCCGCTGATTGCTGCTGGTGCTTTGGCCGCCAATACGGTGCTATCCTTCATTAAGGGCTACACCACCACCGCAGCTATCGGCGGCGCAGACATGCCTGTGGTGATCACCGTGTTGAATGCCTACAGCGGTTTCGCTCTGGTGGCTGAAGGATTCATGCTGGACAACCCACTACTCACAACGGTCGGCGCGCTCATCGGAGTCTCGGGTTCCATCTTGTCATATGTCATGTGCGTGGCCATGAATCGTTCGCTGGTCAACGTCTTGTTTGGAGGCATCTCAGCGCCAACGACATCGGACTACAAGATTGAGGGCAACATTACACAGACCAATGTGGAAGACACTGCCGATGCCTTGACGAATGCGGAGAGCGTCATTATTGTTGTCGGTTACGGCATGGCTGTAGCCAAGGCGCAGTACGCAATCTCTGACATTACACGGATGCTCCGTTCCAAGGGGATCAACGTCCG